ACCAAAATCAAAGTAGACTATCACTCACCCACACCAGATGGAAAACTCTACAGACTGTCGGTTCACACCCCATATATATATATATATATATATATATATATATATATATATATATATATCGTCAAAATATATATACAGGGTTGTCAGACCGAATGTACGGACGCCCCTAAGCGGACCCCCAAACGTTCGGGCGTTCGGGTCCCCGTACGGGGCCCGAACCTAGAGGGGTTTTGACCCCTCAAAAAAAAAAAATTGGCACATAAATATGATTATTTTTTCTGAAAACTTTTCTTTTAGTTCCTTATGATGTAAGGTATCTCCCTCTTAATTTTCAAGCCATTCTGTTGATTAAAAAAAAAAAAAAAAATCGGCAAAGATGGTGGTGTCAAAACTTGCTGGCCCACTCACTAATTTATTTTTTCTCTTTTTTTTATTTTTTGTTTCTCTTTTATTTTAGGGCATGAAATAAAATATTATTTTTTTAAACTTTATTTGTATATTTTATATTATGTAAGATACACATATACAAATTTTCATGGCAGTTGTCACTGCCAAAACAAAATGAAAAATCACCAAAGATGGCGGTGTCAGAAACGTGCTCGACCACTCAATAATTTCATTCTCGTTTTATTTTTTCTAATTTTAATTATTATTATTTATTTTTAGTATTTGATTTGTATTTCAAATTTGGTAGAGAATTTTGATGTAACGTTGAGGTAAATGTTGTTTAGTTTATTCGTATGTATAACATATGTTTTTTTAGATTTTTTGAAATATTTTTTTCTTTTTTTTTTTTGGTCTGCGTTCGGCCGAACGAGTCGAGAGGGGGTGCCGAACGTTCGGGTTCGGGTGTTCGGCCCGTCCCGAACGCTGACAACCTTATATATATATATATATCTACTTTGATTTTGGTTAAGGTAGATTATCATTTACAGTGTAATTAGTGAGGGGATTTTGCAGACTGTTGAGGGTTCAACCTCCTGATGAGTCGGTGAAACTCCGACGAAACAGTTAGCCGCTCGTTTGTTGTCCTCTTCTCTCTCTCTGCCTACGGTTTACCGGACAGTTCTGTTTGTGGCGATATATATATATATATATATATATATATATATATATATACATATAAATTTATTTTTGGCCCGACCGGGAAAGTGACCCCGGGCCACTCTGGTAGCCTAGGAAGTTACACAATATTTCTTGTATTCCGCCTCCCTTTCTATTTGACCTCGGTTTGATATAAAAGTTTTACATAAGAAAGACACAAAGTGTGGGAATGGAAAAAACTTGTTTTGAAATAAAATAAGTACATAATGCTGATATTCATGTTTGATTACAATAGTGTTGACCTTTTTTTTTTTTTGCATTCTCTATGACATTGCTTTGTACAAACATGCATTTTCTATCATCTCTCCTTTATACAAAATACATACAAAAGCGTGTGGAATAGGAATATAAGAAGAACAAAGACAACCACAACGAGCGTTAGAATGAAGAAGGCCTTGGAATGTAACTCTATGTGTGTGTGTGTGTGTGTGTAAGTAAGAGAGAGAGAGAGAGAGAGAGAGAGAGAGAGAGAGAGAGAGAGAGAGAGAGAGANGAGAGAGAGAGAGAGAGAGAGAGAGAGAGAGAGAGAGAGAGAGAGAGAGAGAGAGAGAGAGAGAGAGAGAGGCAGGAGTGGGTTGTGAAATAAAATTTCTGCAGTAAAGGATTGCTGCGAAAATAAAGAAAAAAAAGTCTATACAACAGGCATGAACGACGTCCATCTCCATCTCCATTTCCATCACCTTCCTTCGTCCTCCTCCGCTTCCACCTTCCCGTCTCCCTCACTACACCTTTCTCGTCATTTTATACCCCCTCCGAATGGAAAACGACCCGAAAGGTGTATCAAGATCAACTGTTCATGTGTATACAGTACCTCAACTTTTCATGACACGTGGGTATGCCATCCAACGACAAGGAGGATTTCATGTGTAAATCGATCCTCTTTGCTAGTGGGGTTTCAACCCAAAAGCAATGAGTTAGGTATTCATACGAAAACTACTCTCCAACCTGTTCATAAATTAATCATCTTCCCTTTTTATTTTTGAATTAATCGTGAGCTTCATTAGTCATGTCGACAACATAATTTAGAGATAGCACGATCGTTGAATATAGTAACTATACCTCTCCCCCCGAACATAACACACCATTATCACACTTGTACGATCGAACATGGGAATATGAAAGCTCATGAGCCTTCACCCAACACAACACACCCTCATCACGCCTACATCCTTTGGACACTGCACAACACCTTATCACTGATATTGCATGTAATCTACATTTTTGATCAGGTACGGTCACTATTAAGGTGACCCTGAATATTTTATGCCAAACCAATACAATTGTTATCATCTACTTTCCCTCTTCATTTAACTTCCCTCTACGTCCACCTTCCCACGTCCATCTATATCATCACCCCGCCGCCTCCTCTACTCCCACCTTTCCGCCTCCAAGGCTGCTCGATTCCCATAATTTTCATCCGGAGGCAGATGCATCTCCATCATCGTCCCTCCTCTTCCTCTACTTCCACCTTCCTGCCTCCATCGCAACATGTTTCCTATTGTTTCCCATCCAAAAGAAATTGGAAAATAACGGGAAATGTGTGGTGATGGAGGTGGAAGGTGAAGTGAAGGAGGAGGAGGGACGATGATGGAGATGGACTTAGGAACGTGGAAGCAGAGAAGGAGGAGGGAAGGTGATGGAGATGAAAAGGAAGGAGGAGGAAAAATGCGATGGGGAGGAGGTAGAGGAGGACGAGCATCTGCGGGAGATGAAAAATGATGGGAAATGTGGTGCCATGGAGACTGGAAGGTGGGAGCAGAGGAGGAGGATGGAAAGTGATGGAGATGGATGTGGGAAGGTGGGAGTAGAGAAGGAGGAGGGGAAGGTGACGGAAATGAAGAGGGTGGAAGAGGAAAGGTGGGGGGGGAGGAGGTAAAGGAAGAAGAGCAAGTGGATGAGGAAAGCTGTCAGGAGGACAAGGGGTGTGTCGCATGGCAAGCGCAACATGTGACGAGCGAAATTCAAATTGTGAGGGCACCAAGTTGGATGTGGGGCAGTCAGAAACGATGCCTGCTCGGTCGAGGGGCAGATGGCAAAACTAGAGCGGCTGCCTCTGCAGTACACGGCCAAGGGCATATGACAAAGTTTCCCCTAGCTGAGGCAGGGGCAAAAGCAGAAGTTTTGGCATCGTGTCGTACCCCTGTGTTTTAGGGGTATCTGACTGACGATATACCCTTCGTTTTAGGGGTATTTCAACGAGTTTCGCTCACCGAATGTGAAAAGGACAGAACAATGGCGGGGTTATCTTCCCAGGTTCTACGCCAAAATACGTTGTAACCTTCACACATTTGGGGCCTCGCTGCACTTCTCTCCACATGCACAACAGACAAAAAAAAAAAAGACGGCGGTGCATCTTTCCATGTTCTAGCGGACGATTCATTCTCATTTTGCACATTTGGACGATCAGTGCGGTGCAGCGAGGCCCTTGGTAAGCAGTGCAGCGAGGCCCTACACTACAATGCAGGCGGGCAAAGGGGGCTTGGGTCGGGGCCCGCCTGAAGCAAGAACGAGGTCGGGCTTTCAGGGGCTACCGGTGGGCAGCCACGTACCCTCCTCCACCTCCCCCAAAAGTCCATCGATCCCAAGATCGCGAACGACGGTTCGATGGGAGGACACGTGGCGTGCCGGCCAAAACGCCCAACTGCAATCTGCTGATTGCGCGGGAAAAAAATTCAAGTTGACCTGCCGCCGCAACCCCTTGAGGAGGAGGGTGGTGGACACGTCAGTGCGAAAGGAGGCGTTCATTGATTGTGAAGGGAAGGCGCGTTCTCCGTCCCCTCCCCTCCCCCCCTTCCCGCCCCCCCGTGATGCTGATCGGGATGGTCGGAGGACGGGTCATGAAGCGCGGTGTGTAAAGTACGCGCACGCGCCCTGATTGTTCGCGCTCCATCTCTGTGGTAGTGCGCTATCGTTTTACGCACATTTATCGGACACTTGTCAGCATCCGTCTGTCTCTTCTCGCTGCGTCGAGCTGGAGTCATTAAACCCTGTCAATTAATTCTGTGGGAAGACTCTGAGAGGCAACATGGACGACTCTAGCTTCAAGCTAAGATGCGAACTTCGCGGTCACGATGAAGACGTAAGTAGGGCTGTGTGTGTGTGTGTGTG